ATCAGAGAACTCTTTTTTCCACAGAAAACTAGGAACCCTGATGATCACATAAAGGAGTTAAACACCAAATTTGAGGAAGCAGAATTTCCTGAGACATAAAAACCTCGTGTGTGGCCTGAAGGAGTAGTCCATGCTGAATCATTATTGCAGTGGTTTTGTTTATGCTTACCTCATCCTGTATTCATACTTTGTTTGTGCATCTCCCAATAAATTTGTTACTCCTGAGAAAAAAGATATACCAGCAATTTCTAAACCAGAGAACAAGGAATTGATCAGCTGTTGCTAAATCTCATGATTTTATTGCGAGTCTTGTGATATTTGGTGTTTTCTTAAAGCACCAGCTCCTGGAGTCATGGGATTATGAGAGATCTCAGCTTTCACTTAACATTTTTTTTCCAGCCCACTTGATTGTGGAGAAAAGCTTGAAAACATGAACACTAGAGACTCAAAAGAATCCAGATTTTATTATTTTTAAACCAATCTCATGATTTTTGAATGCTTGATATTAGCAATACTGGCACTGGCTTGTCTGCTCCAGCAGCTGGGTGGGGACTCCAGTCACAGAGATCATTATCACCTTGAGTAATATGACACTGGGGACTGCCAGAGCACTGTAGTTTATGGCCTATAATGCTTCCCACAGCAAAGGCCTCAAATGGCCTCCCTGGAAAGCAGCAAGAGAAGCAGATTTCTCTGGCTGGAGCACATGTAGGCTTCACTATCACAGGACAGGCAGCACTGCTGGGTTTGGGGAGGAAAGGATGAAGAAACACAAGTTTGGGGGAGGAGGGCTCTGCTGGAAGAGGGGTTCCCAGGCTACGGGAGTGGGATCTGCTGGAGATCCCAGGGGGAGGGAGCAAAAGAGGTCAGGTTGTGTCAGGAGAGGAGGTTCCTCAGACAGGGGAAAGAGGATGTATTGGATGGCTGCACCCTTCCTGGGCTGTGCCTTGGGGTTTGGGTGGGGAGAGGGGCTGTATTGGGAGGGTGAAGTCTGGGGGGATTGTGCCCTGTGGGGGTGGGGTTAATTAAAGAGAGGCAAGTGCAACGTACATGTGTAATCCTTTTGCCACCACTTGCTTACACAAATAATCAAGGAAACAAAATGGCTGCCGAGCTTGGCTGGGTGGGGGAGGGCGGAACCCGGAGTAGCCTCTAACGGCTGCTAGAGGGAGCCACGCAG